GGGGGGGGGGCTGGAAGTTGTTTTATTATCTTTTCAATTTCTCTTTTTAATTTTTTTATTAATTTCAATGAGCATCTACAGAGATTTTGGATTTTTATTCATTGTTGCACTTTTCTCCCCACCCACCCCAATTTGTTCTTTTGCAATGGGTCTGTTCAGATGTTCTATTTCGGTTTGTGTCAGTTTAGTTAGGTTGTGAATTTTTAAGTATTAGTACATTTCCTCTAGGTTTTCATATTTGTTTGAGTATAGTTTTTCATAGTATTTCAGTGTTAGCCTTTTTATTTAAGTTGGTTCTGTTGTGATGTTGCCTGTTTCCCTTATTCGGATTATTTGTGTCTTTTCCTTCTTTTCTTTTGCTAGTTTTTCTAGTGGTTTGTTGACCTTATTGAACTTTTCAAAGAACCAAATCCTAGTTTTATTATTTCAATTGTGTTTTTTTTTTGTTTTCTATTTATTTCTGCTCTAATTTTTATAATTTCAGTGTTTTTAGAGGGTATCGGGTTTTGGAGATGTTGAGTTAGAGAGTCAATGGTCATTTTCCCCCGCTGCCTTTTGATGTGTTTGTTTATCAATGCTATCAATTGACCTCTGAATATTGCTTTGGCTGTTTCCCAGAGGTTTTGGTAAGTGGTGTTTTCATTGTCATTTGTTTCAAGAAACTTTTTCATTTCATTTTTTATTTCTTCTAGTACCCACTCATGTTCAAACAAGGTTTTGTTCAGCTCCCAAATGTATGGGGGTTTTATCTCCTTTATTCTCTTATTAATTTCTAATTTTGTAACATTGTGGTCGTAAAAGATGCTTTGTATTATTTCTATTGTTTTTTAAAATTTATTAATGCTTACCTTGTAACCTAAAATGTGATCTATTCTGGAGAACGTTCCATGCACATTGGAGAAGAAAATATACTGTGTTTTTTTATGGACGCATTAGCCTATAAATATCTATGAGATCAAGTTGGTTTATTGTATGGTTTTAATTCTTCAGCATCTTTGTTGAGTTTCTTTCTGATAGTTCTATCTTTTCTTAAGAGTGATGTATTGATCCACCAGATGCTCTGCCGAGGAAGGAGGGACAATCTCCTCCTGTACCAGTCAGGTCTGATTTGACGGTACACTCACACAAAAATAATAAAATAAATAAAATTTTTAAAAGTGATGTATTGATATCTCCAACTACTATAATAGTGCTATTTCCTTTTTCAATTTTGTTAATCTTTGTTTTCATTCTGTATATAGATATTTATTATTAGGATGCCCTCGTTCTATTGACCATTTAAGCATTATGTAGTGACCTTCCTTTTCCTTTGTGATGGTTTTTGCATTGAAATTTATTTTGTCAGAGATTAATATAGCCACTCCTGCTTTTTTTCTGGTTGCTATTCGCTTGATATATTTTCCCCACCTCTTTTAGTCTTTATTTATCTTCATTTTTCAGATGTCTCCTGTAGACAGCATATTGATGGATTTTATCCAATTTGCTACTCTTTTTTCTTTTCAGTGGTGCACTTAAGCCATTCACATTCAGTGAGATTATTAAGAGGCAAGGTTTTCTAAGCAGTGTCACACCTGCTTAGTACTTGGATGGGAGAGGCAAGGTTTTGATAACATTTTGTTGAGTTCTTTTTGGTATTGTTGCTAGTTATTTTGGTCTATCCCACTTTCCTGTGGCACCTATGTAAGGATGTTTCTCAGTGTTCCTGCAATGCTGGTCTTATTTTTACAAACTATCTTAGGTTCTGTTTTTCTGGGAATATCTTGATCTCTCCTTCATATATGATGGACAATTTTGCTGGGTACAGTATTCTTGGGCTATTTCCAGGCTGGGAAGGTGAGCAGAACTGCTGGATTCTGCAGAGGTGTGTTTTCTGGTTTGGGGATGAGATTAGGGTGTGGCTCTTGCTCACAATAGGGTGTGAGATGATAGGATTTGGCCTCACCTTTAAAAAGCTTTTGGGTTTTGTGGATCTCCCAAATAAAACTGGCAAGGAAGGAAGGAAGGAAGGAG